TAAAAGAATCACTTTATATAATTATGATCAATAAGGTGTAAAGTGATCATATTTTCTTCAATGTTACTTGGATGCTCATTGTCACTATCACTTTCATCAGTGTCACTGCTAATCCACAATAAAAAGCGATCACTTCCTTCAACTATTATTTTATCTTTCACTATGTACTCATCTTCAATTTTTGTAACATGTGAGCACTCTTTATTCTAAAGCTGATTGCTTATTGAGCCAAACAATTCTTTTATAAGTGATTACTTTTGATCATCATTACCTCAATTGGATTTAAATGCGCATGATATGGGGACAGTTGCAAAACATTATGACCATGTGATTTAATTAATTTTTCAGCTTTATACATGGGTTTTATTTTTTTATTAATTCATATAAAACATTTTTGGCAAATTTGGTGAAAAAAAAACAGTCCCTTGTTTTGAAACCACTCTACCATATCTACTTTGAGGCTTGCCATATTAGGGCTTTTATATGTTTGAACAGTGTGATATGGTGCATTGTCCATCACAATCACACAATTACGTGGCAGGTTTGGTAAAACAGTCGTTATGGTAGTCTGATGATTTAGTTTGTGACTTGAATAGCAGTAACTCAGACTTAAGAATAATGCATAAATGTTTCATCTAAGTAGACTATAGTCCGCCTCTCTTCTCGATATTCTTTCAATTTTATTCAAGTAATTAAATCGCCAGGCAGATATATCTGTTCGTTTCACTAAATTTTTTCGTTTTGATTTACACCTTTTGCATTTATATCCTAGTCGTTTTAACATTTTCCATAGTGTAGTACACACACCTTTAAAATTTATTTCATATCGCAATTCGACAAGTAATTTGTTCAATGTAGTTATTTCTTTTCGTACAGTTATCGCGTGTATATATATATATATATATATATATATATATATATATATATATATATATATATATATATATATATATATATATATAATTTCTTCACATACAATTATTTTAATACCATTTAGCATTTTACAAACTGTTGTAAGTCTAAATCTTTGTAGCTGGTCACCCTAAAAATATACCGGTCATGGCGGCAATTCGGGCACGAACATGTTCCAATGGCTAAATCAGCTTGTTTTCAGCCTTTTCTTTTTACAAAAATGCATAAACTTGAAGAATAGTTTGTTGTTTAGCAAATTTAACCACTTTCAGCATTTTTAAAACTAAGATTACATAATTAAGAAGCAAAAGAGCACACAGATAGCAACCGATCAAGTTCAAAGAAAAATGACGGCTAAGGAAACAGTGCTACCAATCACTCACGCGTCAAATTAAGATGAACGGACAATAGACGGATTGTCACTACTGTTATGTCGCTTGAATGATGGTTTGAAGTGGATTTTGATTCGTAAAAAAGATCCAATTTTGTAAATTAAGTGTCCGCGCGTGTGAACTATTAGAGAAAACGACGAAACAAGTGCTTTGATAAACCTCAAGTTATTTTGATCGCTTGGGCGCCTTATGAATTTGAGTGGCTTTAGTAATCAACTGTCCGTTAGGTTGAGCTGTCGTCGAAATCTCCCAAGAGCTTCGCAATGTAACGCATCAGCATATTGTGAAGAAAAAGAATACGTTAGTACTGTTATTAGTTTGTGAAAAAGAATATAAAGTGAAGATTCCGAAAGAAATGATTGGCTCAGAAGGGCTAGAATCCAGAGCCGTAAAGTAAGTTTATAAAAAAAATTAGCTTATCTTTAGTTATATGCATGTTCTTTGATATATATGCTATGTTCTATGTCTGTGGCGCAGCGTCCCAAACCCAAAACAAAATTAAAATTTGTGTTTTGTTGTATAGAAAAGGTTAAAAAGGTTGAATGCCTCAGGTTTGTATATGTAATTACATATCTTTCTTAGTGCAATGAGTGTTTGCTTATTTTTAACATAATACCACAATACCACATTCAAGTTTATATTTCGTCCCCTCTATTTTGTTCTGAAACGTCTGTTTTGAAAATAAGGCCATTTAACTGTAATATCAAATAGAAGACAAACTTATGTTAAAAATCTGTGGTCGGCCTATTAGTATCTTAAATGTTTATCTGTTAATATGATTTATTAAAAACAGTTGCTACACCGGAACTCAGCGTTACACCCAGTCGCTATAGCCACATGAATTTTGTAAAGTAGTAGTAGTAGTAAATTTAAGTATGCTTTAAATTCAAAGGACTTATATAGATAGATTTAGCGTCGCTATACGTAAATGGTCGCTACAACCAAGGTCGTATTAAATGAAATTAACTATATATAAATGTATATATATATATAAGGTAAATTAAAATTTGAAATAATAAATATAATTAAGTATATTTTTTTAATAGTAGCAATGCTATTCACATTACTAATATTCCCTTATACTTAATATCTATGAAATACTAAATAAAACAAACTATTAAAGGGCACTTATATACCAAATCTATAAATAAAAAAACATGGGATAAATATGTACCAAAATACATATACAAAATATCACGTAATGAAAAAAAAACATAAGTCACTCTTCACAAGTCCAGTGCTGAACATAGGCCCCCCCAAGGAATGCCACAAAGCACGCTCCTGAGCCACCTGCATCCATCGACTTCCTGCATGTCTTACTACTAGTGGGGGGTTGCCCTACACTTCGCCTACATAGCCAAGCCTAGCCCCCTCCATAGCTCGCTGAGTGACCTTGAGCATCCTCATATATTTTTTTTACGGCCAGCAGTGAAGGACCACATCTCAGCTTCATAAGTCTGTGTCAGAATGTACAGTCTTGTTTTCAGGTTTTTAGGTATAGCTGACGAGAAGATATATTGTAATTTCCCGAATGCTGCCCAGCCGAGTTGAATCTGTTGATTGACCTGGCGGCCCATTTGCCTCAGGTAAACATACTCGTCAACAACTTTGAGCTTAGTTACGTAGTTTTATATGTGGTAGAGCCATGCTGCAGTTATATGAGTAGTATAATTGTAGCACGAATGGGTCGGCTCGACCGGGGAAGGACCACACTCTCACAGAATACCAGCGTAAAATAGTAGCTTTATGCTGCTGTGTTACGTATCGTGAGTGTAGAGAGCTGGAGACCCTTTTTACTGAAACAAGGCATTCCATCTTAGTCCACATGGGTGACAACGCATCTGCATTTTAATTCATAATTGAGGATAGATGTGGATATCTATGGGCTACAGCAGCCACTTACCATCGGGTGGCATGTGTGCTCGTTTGTCATTCTATTCTATAAAAAAAACAACATATGTGTGACATGGGCGTTATACATGATCTTTGTTTGGTCCATGTTTATCTTAAGACACATCCGTTGGGAGGCACTATTGGGGTAAGGTTTGAAATTAAGTCACCTGAATTTGGGGGTGGGGGGTTGTGGTGATGGAGGTGGGGGAATTTGACGTGTTTAGTTTTTTTTTATAAATTTTTAAAAATTTTATTTTAAGGTTATGTTTTCATAATGTCTTTGATTATAAACCTGATTTATGCGGGGAGAGAGTTAGGGGAGGGAAGCCCAACGCCACTCAACGTAGCATGTTGAGGGAAGCTCATTCCACTGAGCTCGGACGGGCTCCTACTTCTGAGTGGATTATAAAAAAATAACCACGAAAGGGATGGCGGGGTCTTTTCGCTCGCTCACTCGACCCCGTGATCTCCTAACCTAACCTGTCCGAGTCTGGGTGCCCTAAGTACCGAGCTCGCTTCGCTTGCTTTTACACTCAATAAAACACCAAAATATTAACTTTTATTATTACTTTAAATTATAAACATAATTTATAGCTGCAACCATTTGTAAAAAAGTATACTGAGGGGTAGCGAAGTCATTGAACAACAGGTAGAGGCAGATAAAACGTTAGGGAGCACATTCACATAAACTCGAAAATGATGGAATGACGTAAAGTATATCTGTCAGTCTGTCACTGTCAACAAAATAGCCGGCCTTGCGATTCATTTTACGCATTTTGAGATGAGTTTGACAGATACAACGTCAAAAACGTTAGAATTTAATTAATTGTACGTTCCATTTCACGTTTAGTTAGTGATTTACCTTAATTTTAAAAATAATTAAAAATACATCGACGCTGCCCTGGCAGCAAAAATCGCATAGGGGTGCTTCAGATAGACCCCTTTGATCCCCCCCACAGTGACAGAATCCTTAATTCAGGTGACTTAATTTCAAACCCAACCCCACTATTGATGTCATTGAGCATAATGCTTAAGTAGTCCAGCGATTCTGCCATAATGACTATATTGTTGGCAAATCGAACTTGTGGGTTTTGTTTCTATTGGTTCTGTTGCCGTGCTTCACATGTCAGTACTGATATACAGAAAGTCAACTTGGCATCATTGAAGGGACTGTAGTACTGCCTAAATTTCGACTAAATAAAAGGCTTTCTCATAGTCCACTTATGCCAGACAAACTGGAAGATTGTACTCTTTGGTCTTCTGCACAATTTGCCGAAGGGTATGTATTTGGTCTATGGTACTAAAGCCTTGTCGGTAACTAGCATGTTCAGGAGGCTGGAAGTTTTCGAGTCTGATAAATCAGGTGGAAATATTCTTAAGATAGAATTCTCCAATTAGTCTCTTAAAAGTGTTCTTGTTACTAGTTATCTTTATACCATCAAGCAGGGTGTAGAGCAACATAGACGGACTGCACAATAAAAGATGTATTTGAGAAATTACTCTTATGTGGTGGAATATGAATTTTAAGACTATATTGGGATCCCTATTTGTAAGTGGTCCCCTTCTTTGGGCTCTTTTTTTTTGAGTCCCCCACCACTCACAGGTGTTGTTTCCCTCCTATAAAAAAAAAAAAGTAGAATATAGATACTTAAAATTATCCTTAAAATAAGGAGAGTTTGGTTCATTTAAAATTGAATATAGTACTTGTATGGGGTATGTTTGGCAGCAAAGTAATTAATTTAGGATAAAACAAAAGCTAGATTTGATAGGATGTTTTGCATTTTTATTTTAGTGACTGACATAATGGATGAAAGTATGGAGTTACAACAAGACTTCTCAGATAGTGTTCCATCTGTACCACCTAATCAACCAATGGAGACAGATGGTGACCAAGCGCAAAGTACCGTAGTCCCAACAATTGCACCTACTGGACCACAATCTGGAAAACATGAAGAATTTTCAGTTGAAAAGGTATTGGATCGAAGAATAAGAAATGGGAAAGTGGAGTACCTTTTGAAATGGAAGGGTTATTCTAAGTATGTATACGTAAATTTCAGTAAAATTTATTTTATTGAAGAGTATATCTATCTTTAAGGAAAGTAGTCTTTTGGGGGCAATTGTGTAGATTTAACTTTCATAGGAATGGCTAAGTAATTCTAAATTTAAAATCACTTTCATATAATTTGATTGAGAAATGATACTTAGTTGATTACAGGCAAAACAGTATGTTTTGACTAAAATCAACTGATTATGTGTAAAATGGCTTCGCTAAAAACCCTCTCTTAAATGAGAGGAGACATGTGCCCAGCAATGGGACGTATATATAGGCTGTATGGATGGAATAATAAATATTCCATAAATTTATATTTGGGGATGAAAACCTTATAAACTTAACAGTCATGCATTATTCAATCTGAACTTATTTATTTTTTCAGTGAAGATAACACTTGGGAACCAGAGGACAATTTAGACTGTCCAGAGCTTATTTCAGCTTATGAAGAAGCAAGACTTAAGAGGGAAAGGGAGGCAGCACCAGTTGTTGCAGAGACTGTGGAAGAAGCTCCTTCAACACGGAAGAGAACTCGTAGAGGAGATAAAAAGAAGACAAAACTTGAAGTAAGTCTTCTTCTTCTATCAAATTTAGCATCTACTTACCATCAGGTGCTATAAAAAAAAAGAATTCTGCCACTGTCAAGTCAGTCATGGGAATGACAAGTTAATAATTATTAAATTAAGACCTCAATTTTATGAGTGGATTCACAATCTACAGACTTCACATTTTTAAAATACCATCGTGAAAGTTGTTAAGTAATTTTACACTCTAATATTATTATTACAAATATAAAAAAAATAATACAAAAAAGTACACAAAATATTTGCAAAGGGAGTATAACTAGGGTCAGCAAATATTGAAAATTTATAGGAAGGGGGAAGTAATTGGGTAGGATATCATAGAAGATTGGGAAAGATTAACACATTCACAGATTGAGCTATCCCTAATCCTGAGTTTAGCCAAATGTATTGGAGTACAAGCATGACCAAAACATAGGCGATAGACAATAGAGGTGATAGCTTTACTAAAGTGACGAAATTGAAAAAACCAGGGTTTTGATGGGATATTAATTTGGACTTTGGAATAGTGAAAACTTTTTACAAATAAGAAGCGTTTTCATAAAACGATACATCATAAAAAAGTGTATTTTTCAATAAACGAGAATTTGTTATAGTATTTAACTATAAAAAAAATCAAAATAATGAAAAATACACCATGTTTCTGTCAAAACTCATTTCCAGATTCATCAACTTATTTCCTATTTTGTTTTAACTTCCGTTTATCAGCTCTTAACCTTAAAAAACCACTTCATTCGCTGCAGGTCCAGTCAAAATAGGTTGATTCGTTTGTGAGATTTCGTTAATGAAAATTTTTTCAAAAATTGATCCTTTTAAATTACTTCGATATTTCATATTCAACGTCATAATTTGGTGACATTTGGAGCGCTTTGCATTTGAAATTAGCGGGAAGTTCCAGGGATGGCCTGCAGGGTAAACCAATTTTATTTTGTCTTGATGGAAACAAAGGCTTGTGCTTGTGAAGGTAATTAGGTACCTACCTAGCTAATTTTACTATATTTTATCTTTACAGCAGTATCTCAGATATTCTGCTTAAAATATTGGATAGGGGATTGAACATAATAAATAAAACACATGCCGCCACATTAAATATTTATAATCAGTATATTAGCCTTTATGGCTGGCAATCGTTGATTGTAGGATAGTATGCTTTTCTCTTTATAGATTGCTTCCTGGCAGCAGTCATTTAATAAGTTTAGCAATCAGTTCCTTGGACAGCTTTCACAGCCCATAACATGTACTGGTGTTTCTTTTATTGAACTTGATTTTACCTTTTGTTACCATGGTCCAAAAAAATCATGAATCGTTTTAAAATTACTAATATATCCAATTTTTTTAACCGACTTCAAAAAAGGAGGAGGTACTCAGTCTGACTGTTATTTTTAAATGTCAGAATTTTTTTAGGTGAATCGATTTCGACGATTCCTTTTTTTATGACTATGATATTTATATGACAATTTGCATTTGAATGGAACTAAAACTAAGTGTATGAAATTCGTCACTCCTAATGTTAAACATGTCAATGCTAATGTAATTTTAAATGAGGAGGAACTGAGTCTTGTTGATACCACCATTTTTCTTGGAATCAGACTGGACGCAAAGCTTCAATGGCTCCCCCATATATGATAACTAGCTAGCAGACTTAGTTCTGCAGCATATGCTGTAAAAAAAGATTAGAACTCTTACCAGTGTTGAAACAGCTAGAATAGTTTACTTTAGTTATTTCCATAGCATCATGTCGTATGGTGTTTTGCTAGGGGGACACGCGACTGACACTGAAATTATATTTATTTTGCAGAAGAGCGCCATTAGAGCAATATATAATTTAAAACCAAAAGAGTCATTGAGACAAAAATTTAAGGAAATCAATATATTAACTCTGGCCTCTCAATACATTTATGAAAATGTAATGTACGTACACAAAAATAAAAGTAGTTTTGCGAAAATAAGTGATATTCATTCTGTAAATACTAGGAGCAGACACAAGCTATTAGTACCAATTACTCGACTCCACCGAGTCAGTAATTCATTCTTGGGGCGATGTATACGCTTTTACAACAAAAATCCCAGAAAATATACAAAATTTGTCATACATAAAGTTCAAAAATGTTATTAAACTAAGTTTGTATAAAAAGGGTTATTATAATATTAAGGAATTTATGGATGGTAATAACCCTTGGGAAGGGTGATCGCTACCAAGCTATTTCTAATTTGTCTTGTGTTGTTAATTGTGAACATGATTGTAAGCTATTATTGGAAAAAAAATAGTCCCGCTTGGTTTCTTGCTGGTTCTTCCCAGGACAGAGGTTTTTTTTCCGAACCAGTGGTAAATTAAAAAAGTGACTTTCAATAAGTATTTGTTATAATCTACATTGAATAAAAAAGTTTTTGTTTCTGTATGTGAAAGCGGATGCTACTCATGTGGTCCCATATAAATTTCATCAAGACCTGACCTATAATTTTTGGGTTATCCTTAATATTGCGTATTTAATTGACATTGGTGACATTCAAGTTTTAAGTAATATTGAATTCGGTATTACACAATTTTTAATTTTATCACCATATTTCTGAAAGGTCTCTGCCAATGTGTTCAAACTTGGTTTTGGTTTTATTATGAATTTATAGACCGAAGTTTAGCTCCTGGCCTACCATGTCTTTAAAAAAAAATTGATAATTAAGTGGTGCTTATGTTCTATTTTAATTTTAGGAAATCGAAAAACCTCGTGGTCTAAGTAGAGGTCTGCCACCAGAAAAAATACTAGCTGGGCAACTATTTCATGGAATCCTGTATTTCTTAGTTAAATGGTAAGTAAACACATATAAACACTTTGCTAACACAAATGAATAAAATAATTCAATTATTTGGAGTGTGTGTCGCTAACAGGGATAAAGGGATTAGAAATCATCAACAAAAATTTATTTAAATATCTTTTTTATTCTGCAAGTTCATTTTTCACTATAAATTTGAAAAAATATGAATGACTTAAAATCCCTTGTTTTTCCATATCCATTTTCATACCTATGTTGCAACACTTCCAGTTTGCATGAGCCTTTAACCGCTCGATTGCTTGCGAACAAAAAAAGGGTAGCTTACTTTGCCAATAGGTCGGGACTATGTTTCTCACGTTCGACCCTCCGTCAATAAAACTTAATTTATGACTTACTCCAGAGGAGCACTTTAAATATTTTAAGTTTTATGAATAACCATTGAAATAAGAAATGAAAATACTTATGTTATTCTATCAAAATATTATTACAATAATATTTTAGAGGTGTTGAAATCACAAGTACAAGCCATTTTAGCGACTTTTTGTAAAACATCGTGTTTATCAAAAAAATAAGATCAATAAGTGTATGATTATTTATTATATCCTTAAACGTAATGAATTACTTGATATATTTATCTATATTATAAAACGATTTAAGTATATTTAAATACATAGTAAAAATATTAAGTGAATTTGGGGTGGGCGCCCCCTTTCTCCTTTCTGGGGCGCTCGCACACAGGCCCCACAGCCGCCATGGCAGCACCTTTTTCGATATGCGCCGACGCCCCCGCGTCCGATGGCCTGGCCGGAACGAGCACTTAAAGTATATTCACGGATTGCGTAATCGATCGCTATTTGTTAGTTACAATCTAGGCTGTTATTACATTAAAACTTATATTATAACATGATGAACAATTTATAAAACTTTATTACTTAAATTGAATAATTATTTTCAAATACCACTGCGACTATTTCGTGTTTAAAGAGTACCTACAACATAATTACGATAATGTCAAATAGAAAATGATGTTTAGATTCGCGTCATTCTGAGTATTTTTAAAAGTCGACTTTATCACATTTTTCATACAGTATTTGCAAAAATATTACTTTAATACAAGAAAACACTAATAAGACATTAATTTGGTATATAAATACTAGCAAAAATCAATAAAATTCTATACTCACTCAAGCTTCACTTCACTCACTAAACTTTAACTAACAAAGTTTCGATATTTTTCGTCCAAGAGGTTGGTAATTTTGATCCAAATCTATGATTTATATATTTGTTTTTGTTTTTAATACGTAATAGTTAGACTCTGTGCGTTTAAAATACGATCTAAATTCAATTAAATGAACTTCGTCGCTTTGCAACCACAGTTGCAAAGAGCAAAGTTAAGGATTCTGTTTTTGCAACTGTGGTTGCAAGAAGCAAATGTATATTTTAAAACTAATCATAGCATTAAATATACATGTATAGTAGTAGTATTAAATATACATGATAAGATGCGAGTTTATGTTTTTACTATCACAGAAATCGCCATACACCTTAGTAGCAAAGCATCGACCTTGGTCGGCAATGATACGAGTAGGTACTCCTAAAAGCGCTACACTTTGAGTTACCGCGCGAATACTACTTTTCGAGTCTATATTTTTCGTTTGGAATAGCAGGACGTATTTGGTAAACGCGTCTATCAGAACAAAGACATACTCTTTGGCATCATTCTTCCCGCTAAGTTTACCGGTCACGTCTATATCCACCATGTGCCATGGGATAGTAGCTTTTGGAATTGAGTGAAACTCGGCTTGAACCTTTTCGGAATGAGGCTTCGCCACTTTACATGTTACGCAGTTATCAATGAATTTCCTTACATACTGAGACATTTCCGGAAAGAAATAAAAGTCAAAGAGCTTTTCACCAGTCTCTTCGACGCCGAGATGAATGAGAGAGTCGTGAAGGTTATTAATGATGACCATCGCAACGCGTGTGGTAAGTAGGCCAAGCACTTCAATCTACCGTTACGTTGAATATTGCGATGAAGAATACCTGAGCGTAATGCGTAGGTTTTAAATTCAAATTCATTTATTTGCCAGAATGTATGTGTACAATAAAGTATGATCTTAAATTATCTCTAATGGCCCATTTACATTCTACCACTTTATATGGTGTGCAAATATTTTATATGTATACTTTAGCTAATTGTTCATCCATCTGACCGCTTTCTAAGTCGCTAACAATCTTACAAATTTCTTTATCGCGTTGTTGCTCAGCTAAAAGCCAGTTTGAAGAGAGGTTAGTTATATCGACACGCTTTTGCTCAACATGGGGGATCTTTAACTTTAGATCTGATGTGTGTGGGTTTCGGGAAAAATAAACGAAGAGCCAAATGTCAAAGCTGAAGACTGTAAAAGTAAAGCAGCATCGTTTCTGGGACACATGAGATTCTGAGTGAGATTGCGAGGTTCTATGTGCAGCTGTACACATCATCATTGGAGCCACACGCAAGTGTGACTTAACGATCCAAGAGCAAGTCTTATCCGACACTATTCCGATGATATCCCGGACGTCAGTCTGAGCGAGATTAGAATGGCTCTCCAGCACCTTAAAAACAGCAAGTCCCCGGGCGAGGATGGAATTACAGCGGAGCTTCTGAAAGCGGGTGGAAAACCGGTACTTGAAGTCCTTCAGAAGCTCTTTAATTCCGTCCTTCATGGAGGCACTACTCCTGAGGCGTGGAGCAGAAGTGCGGTGGTCTTGTTCTTCAAGAAAGGTGACAACGCCCTCTTAAAGAACTTATATACGAACAGACCGATTTCCCTTCTGGGCCGCGTCTACGTGCTGTTTTCGAGAGTCATTACGAATCGTCTCGTACGCAGACTCGACGACTTCCAGCCTCCCGAAAAAGTCGTTTTCCGTAAAGGCTTTAGTACCATAGACCACATACATACCCTTCGGCAAATTGTACACAAGTCTCAAGAGTACAATCTGCCGCTTTGCCTGGCGTATGTGGACTATGAGGAAGCTTTTGATTCCGTCGAAATTTAGGCGGTGCTACAGTCTCTTCAGCGGTGCGGTGACTGTGTAATAGGATGTTTGTACAGTAGGGCTACGATGGCTATCCGAGTACAGAAACAGAGTACGAAACCTATGCAACTGCAGAGGTGTAAGACAGGGTGACGTTATTTCCCCGAAACTCTTCACCGCTGCATTGGAAGACGTTTTCAAGCTACTGAACTGGAAAGGATACGGTATTTACATCAATGGCGAGTACATCACTCACCTTCGATTTGCCGACGATATAGTCCTTATGGCAGAATCGCTGGAGGACTTAAGCACTATGCTCAATGACCTCAATGGTGCCTCCCAACGGATAGGTCTAAAGATGAACATGGACAAAACAAAGATCATGTGTAATGTCCATGTCACACCTATGCCGGTAGTTGTTGGGAACACTAAGCTCGAAGTTGTTGATGAGTACGTTTACGTGGGACAAATAGTCCGAGTTGGTAAGTCCAACTTCGACCGAGAGGTCAATCGACGGATTCAACTCGGCTGGGCAGCGTTCGGGAAATTACAACACATCTTCTCGTCAGGTACACCTCAAAATCTAAAAACTGGTCAAAGTGCGTGTTGCCAGTGGTTACCTATGGATCCGAGATGTGGTCCTGCACAGCTGGCCGTATAAGGACGCTCAAGGTCGCTCAGCGAGCTATGGAGAGGGCTATGCTCGGGGTTTCTCTGCTTGATAAACTTAGAAATGAGGATATCCGCAGTAGAACCAGAGTGACCGACATAGCCCAACGAATTAGTAAGCTGAAGTGGCAATGGGCCGGCCATATAGCTCGAAGAACCTACAACCGTTGGGGAAAAAAGGTTCTCGAGTGGCAGCCTCGTACCGGTAGGCGAAGAAGGCGGTGATGATGACGTGTTGTGGTTGTGGTGTAGTTATGGTTGTGGTACTTGTAGGTGGACCCTAAATATCACTCCTGTGAGCTCAAGACTGTAGCAGTCATGAACTCTTTCAAGCATTTCAGGCAATACCTTCACGGTAAGAAATTTACGATTGCGACAGATTGTTGTAGCTCGTTGAAGTCTTCTCAAATCAAGCACGATTTGACTCCCCGAGCGCATAGATGGTGGGCTTTTCTCCAGTTCTTTGATTTCGTAGTAGTGTACAGGGAAGGCAAATAATGAATGTCCCATGTAGATGACTAGCCATCGGCGCAGGACAGGATTATAGTGCCTGTGTATGCGCAAGCACAGGGGCACTCTCTATTCTCTCACTCTCATAATCTGATGGGACGGTAAACCTACACGACCGGAGAGAGATTAGGCGCAGGACCAACGGCTTTACGTGCTTTCCGAGGCACGGGGGTGAGACACCGCCAACTTCCTGACTCCTGGCAGTTACTGAGAATTTCTTGATGGAAAAACTCAATAATTGATTTTTTGCCCGAGCTGGGTTTTGAACCCAGGACCTCATTATCAGCAGTCGCACTTATACAACCACTAGACCAACGAGGCAGTTCAATGTGCAAACTATACGGAACGCGGGACAGTTTCTAGACAACTTCACTCTTCGACAGCCCACGGTAATGTGTGTGCAGCTCCGCTCCGGTTGACCGCTACGTCGTAAACTCTGCCAAGTGCCACCGGATGACGCTTGCGTTCCGATTATTTAAAATAATCATTCTGGAAGTGACGACTCGATTGCGACATACATATTATGTACACGGCTGGGTACCCACCAGAATATATGGGTGTCATCCAAGCGGCCAAAGCAATAGATTCTAGGAATGTAAGACTCCTCCATCAGAATACTGACCGATAGCGTGGCGGTACTACAAGCTCTGAGTTGCAATGTGGTCAACTCGGGACTAATATAATGCTGGTTGATTTAGTTTTTGTTTAGTGTTTAGTATATTTAATTGTAGGATAAAATAGTTAAAAAGTTTTAATGTAATTTATAAATTATATAATGTATATAACCCATCTATTGATAAATTTTAATGGCAAAACGTCGTTCCTACTATAATTGTTCCGTGGATAGACGCTAAATGACCAACAAAATGTTTCAGATATATCATTCTTTAAGTTACCGAAGGATTTTAGTAGGAAGTTATGAAACGTGAATTTATTTAATTTTTATTGTTAGATAGATACTTCTAGCAAAAAAGAATTAAGTAATAATTTGTCTTAACACCTACGAACATTATTACAAAATTTAGTTTATATTTACTTCAGTATCCAAGTATCTACTTACATACCTATACTTGTCTTTTGTATTTAAAATATTTTAAGTTGTAATAACACAAAACACTGAAATTAAAACGTTGTTTACTATCAAAATGTTTAAATAAGTAGAATACATTTCAGTTAGGAATCCTTTTTCTTCCGAGCCAAGCATCGCGATTCCCGAAGAATGGTCTTGCAAGTTAGATGCGTTAGGCACCGCAGAACTCACATAGGTGCGAAAATATGGTCAGTCGATCATAGTGAGAATAGGTATTTCACCTAGGTAACTTAATTAAAATTTCGCAATGTATTTTGTTACTCTTTATTGACATCCCTTCGGCCTCTGCCTCGAATCTTGCGGGCAGCGGAGCGACGGCGACGGCGGCGCGGGAGCGGGGCGGGCAACGCAGACCCGTTCACGAAACTAGCGGGCAGATCGCGCGACACTATAGCGGCGTAGTGATGTGTTCATGGTGTGTTGTCTCAACAACGGCGACAACATCTTTTTGATTCAAATTTATTTCTAGCGCTCAATTTACTGTGGGCAAAAGAAGAAATGAATCCCTACTACTTATAGGGCAAGGAAAAAAAAGCCAAGTTTTATCGAAATTACGAAGAACAGAGACAATGTCCCGACAAATTCTACGACTACACCAGAATGAGCGTAGAAACTTTTGACTATATTCTTGAAGCTATCAAGGGCGATTTAGATTCAGTTCGTTTTTAATTTCTTCCCATAACTGGTTAATTACTCTTCTATTTTTATGGTTCATATCTTTGCTGTTCCATATCGGTGTTCTCTCAAAAATTGCTGAAATATCAATATTGCTCTTGCACGTCCGAGGACATTTCGAAACGTCACAAAAATTAATTGCACAACACTGCAATGCTGACAGACGCGCGGGCGGTCACCGCTTGACTGGAGTACACCGCCCGTTACCCGCCCCCCGCGCCGCTGCCAAGCCGCTGTTTTCGAGAGTCGGTCCATTTGATTTTACGCATAAGATCCTGCCGCTCCCGCGCCGCCGCCGCTGCCGTCCCGCTGCCCGCAAGATTCGAGGCAGAGGCCTTAGTAACAACGGAAAGTCTTCCGTAACGTAGGAAGGGGAAAAGATGCAAAGTAAAACGGACACTCTCGCGCAGCGATAATGTTTTATTTAGCTTGCGAGCGCCGTTTATCTAATTAATAACAATTATGTAGGCTATTAAACATCGGCAAGCAGTCAGCATCAAAATGCTGCAACCTCTGTATGTAGTACTATTATTTATTTTGCGGTAAGTTATGTAAACACAACAATATGACTATGCAAAGGATAAATGGACAGTAAATCCAGAGGCAATGATGCAAGAGACGAAATTGCAAGAAGAGGATCGGCTCTGACCACTATATGACCAGAACCAATCATACCAATCCCCTTTGGTAACGTTTGTTAACCGGTACTAATCTAGTAGAATGTAGATAAGCTAGGGAGGCCCTGCATGAAATAAACAGTCGTTTAACCAAGGTTCTAATGAGATTACACAAGCCACAAATCAGAATAGTGCTATCACAGGACATCGCTCCTTTAACAAATATTTATTTACCATACATGTTACAGATAGTCCCCTGTGCAGGGTATGTATGGGGGAGGATTAAATGGCGGCCCACGTGTGGTTGACATGTCCGGAGGTCGCTGCATATAGGGCTAAAGATCTCGGCGCGCCGGTATCTCTCTCTGAAGTTATCTTGCAAGACCAAAGAATTGTTGATCTTCGGGGAAATTTCATGACTCGAACAATTGAATAATTTCTGCTCACACGCAAAGCGCAAAGTCGCCCGTCGTTATCTATCTATCTAGCATTAAACATTTTATTATTATTTTCAGGCAAGGATGCTCGGAAGTAGATGTGGTACCTGGTCATAGTATGGGCGAGGCGTTCCCAGATTTCGTCATAGATTATTACTCTCGCTGCGCACCATTCAGCGTCAGACATCCTGTGGGAAAAGTACGCAGGGCTGCTCCAGAGGTAATTAAAACTAGCTAACTTCAAATATGGTCATTTGTTAGAGGCAAAGATACTTTATTAAAATGTAACATAGGACATAACATAACGAAGCCTATAATTAATATGTACGCCTATAATAAACTGTAGGTCAGACATTGTAGACAGTGAAATAGGGCACACAAACATTTTTTAACCATGTGGTGTCAGTGTAAGAGAATCAACTAATCTGTAACGTCCTACGTGTTTTGTATGAGGACACTATACGAAAAGCCAGAATAATATCACGGTTATGCTAAAGAGTTATCACCATCTAGTGTTAGCCAAACGTAAAATTCCCAGGGATAAAGCACAGCCGCCAAGGTATCACAAGGTTACCACAGTTTAAAGACCTTACAGTTGGGAAACGAATGTACTTGTACAGAGCAACAGTAGGGGTACTGCGGTACAGCGGGCGGGCCGACCTTGTGCTATGGCACTTCACCGACTCTGATAGACAATACATGCGATTGACGCGAGCGTGTTTTATTATAATTATGTAACTAATTTTAATTGCCGTTTTCGAAAAATGTAATATCTAGTATTGTGAAGTACTGTTATAATGTGGGAGTTACTTAGTAAAATTGAATTCAAATGACGGCCATTCTTATGTTTCCCTCATTTTTTTGTTGATAAAATAATTAAATTTAACAATCGAAAACTGAAAACGTGTATAAAAAGAAAATGTCACAAAAATATATGGCAGTACAACACATTTTAAACCTTTATTTTAAGAGCTTAATCAAAATTCGATTATGTCGCTCTATTTTACATTATTACGAACTAAATAACATTTAATTTTACAAGCAAACAAAAAGAAAAAATCTGTCTAGTTGACGAGGAGAATTACTATGTTATACAATTTAACCAATAATTTTGTTTCATCGGAATGAGGGTTGGATAAAATAATGTTACAATTAGCCTTCAAAATATTTTTACATTTAGCTATTCGAAAGGCAACATTGCGGGCACACTCCGTCAAGACATGCATTAGATCCTCGGGAACACCGCATTGTTCACAGTTCGGTGACGGGACTTTATTCATAAGAAAAGCAAACTGAATGCAGCCCCTAAGATAGGACGCAGTTAATCACTTCTGCGTCCTTTCTTAGTAATCTGTGACTATCAATCCATGGAATTCTGAGGGGATTTGGCTAAACCGTTTTATACCAGATACCTTTTTCTTAAGAGTGTAAATCAAAATATTCCTTCCATAATTTGTAGCATTGTTTTTTGATTAACCGAATACAATCTGTATAGTAAGGGAATACATTATATTCAACTTCGTCAGTAATAGCTTGTCGAGCCAAAACATCTACCCCTTCATTATATTCAATGCCACAGTGTAATTGGAGATCAGTTTTAAAATACAGTCCAGGACTGAGTAGGTTGTCTGAATGCCTCGAAGTCTTAGAGTTCCCTCTTAGAATCTGTGAATATTACTATGTTGTCTTGTTGCATAAGACAAGGCCTAACAAATTGCGATAAGTTCCGCCTCAGTAATGCATATTATGTCACTGTCTATTTGTAATTGTAGACTAATGTTGCATTGTGGGCCATAAAATGCTGAACCAATTCCACTTCCATCCTTAGATCCATAAGTAGAGTTTAAAAATAATTTTTATATCGCTGTTTAATAAAGTCCATGCATAATAATTTTAAATTAAAAGTAGCTCCGCTTGGCTTTTATAATATTCGGGATATTACAATAAATTACAATATCCAAATATATGTTGGTAACCCAACTATTAATAGAAAACATTTCTATTTGTCGACTGTAATGAATAATAAATATTAGAAAGACAATCAAACATAGTTAGCAACAGGTGCTTCTTTTTATTTTGCCAGTATCTATTGTCCTTATATGTGAATAGCTCTTGTAATGTTTTAATTGAAACATTGTTTTCTCGGGACTTAGCTTTTAAAATAAATTTATCTCCTAGATACGTTCTATTGCATGTATAGGAGTTGTTTTAATAAAACCTTAAAATTAAAATTACTTTAAATGCTTGATTTTGTACTTTATCTAGCTTACTTACATACTTTTGACATCATCATCATCATCATCATCATTACAGCCCTTCACAAGTCCACTGCTGAACATAGGCCTCCCCCAAGGTATGCCACAAAGCACGGTCCTGAGCCACCTGCATCCATCGACTTCCTGCATGTCTTACCAGGTCGTCACTCCATCTAGTGGGGGGTCGCCCTACACTTCGCCCACCGGTACGAGGCTGCCACTTGAGAACCTTTCTTCCCCATCGGTTGTCGGTTCTTCGAACTATATGGCCGGCCCATTGCCATTTCAGCTTACAAATACTTTGGGCTATGTTGGTTACTCTGGTTCTACTGCATCCGCAGGATATCCTCATTTCAAAGTTTATCACGCAGAGAAACCCCGAGTATAGCCCTCTCCATAGCTCGCTGAGCGACTTTGAGCGTCCTCATACGGCCTTCACTGCACTTTTGACAACTATTGTCGTGTTAAAAACTCCCGTAATCAAGTCTACTCCTTATAATAGCAATATACAACCTTTTCAAATGTTTAGGATGGACTTCCCATTCTGTCCCAGTAAACACTTTAAAATATTTAAGTATCTAGAAGTTTTATCAAGTAACACAGTAATATGTTTATTACATTTTAAAGAGCAGCATCCCCAAAAACTTTACAGCACTGACTACCTCTATTACGTTACCTTCTATCTATACATACTATAAATATATAAATTGCAGATGTCTTGTACATTTTATATATTGAGACGGACTAAAAATAAGTAATTGAATACATTTCTCTCACTTTTAGAATTGTCCGTATGTCTGTTTGTTTGTTAACGTATCATGAATAAAGTACTGATTTATATTAAAATAATCGGTAAGGATATTATAATTTTCACACACGGTGCCGCATAAATACCTACGCGGGCAGCGGCATCGCCAGACATCAATATCATCAGGCGTATTTTGCGTGCGTATTACGATTATTCGAGCCATAAAATCTGGAAGAAGTTTAGTAGTCCCTTGACTTTGCGAGCAACTTCGGAGAGTGATCTCGGCGTGCCGAGATGTGAAGCTCTCTATGCAGCGAATTCTGAACATGCCAGCAGCAAGTGGATCGTTGTTTACCGCCTCCCACATACATGCTGTGCACACACTACACCTATCCTGTTGCTATCCTGATCTGTGGCTTGTTCAATTTTATTAAGACCTTGGTTAAGCAACTCTTTATTGCGGACAGGGCCTCCCTAGTTTGCCTAAAGTCTTCTATATTTTTCCAAAGCTGAGCGTCTTGATTAGTAAAGTGCTTAGGTGCTTACCAGTGAACGAATGTTGTTGAAAAGAATTGCTATGATTGGTTACGGTCCTTTGACGACCAGAGCCGATCCTCTGGCCAGTTAGTCTGCTGCGTTGCGTTGCCCTGGATCCACTGTGTCCCTTTCCCTTGGTCTATTGTAAGAGTCACATTGATGTATTTACATACCTCATTAAGTCGTTGATGGCATTGATATATTAGCCCCAATTCAGGGCTAATATATGCATTAGGTATACTGATCTATTATTTTATAGAAAGACTAATGTAAATCTCATAATTCATAATCATTCATAAACACTCACGCCTGTCACCCAGAGGGGTAGGCAGAGACTACGGACTTCCATTTGACACGATCCTGACATACCTCTTTCGCCTCCTTTACATCCATATATCTACGCATACATGCTCGTCGGTTAAGGGTACTTTTAACGTGGCCCATTTTCAAAATATCGCCAATTTGGTCGATAAACTTTTTTCTAGGGCGTCCCTTCCCGACTCTGCCGTTCATATCTGCCATATAAATTTGCTTTGTCACTCTTTCCTCATTCATTCTTTCTACGTGACCAACCCACCGAAGCATTCCTTTCTTAATCCTGGTCACAACATCATCTTGCATACCACATTTATCTCTTATCACACAATTTCTCACCCTGTTATTCAGATTCAACCCTAACATACTCCTTAAAGACCGCATTTCTACAGCATTTATTCTACTTTCGTGCTTCTTCTGCCAGACCCAGCTTTCACTATCATACATTAAAGTAGGGACTAACACAGCATTATGAATTACCATACGTGCCTTTTTTGATACATTCTGGTTCTTCACAATAGAGTGTAGTGCCCCATTCACTCTATTCCCTGCATTTACTCGTCGTTCTATATCCTTATCATATCTACCATCCCTGCTAAATACACATCCCAAATACACAAATTCATCCACTTGCTCAATTAACTCTCCTTCTATTCTTTTTTTTTTAACCATCACTTTCGTCTTACTTGCGTTCACTTTCATTCCCATTTCTTTTAATGCCCAGTTCATTAATGTAACCATCATTTGCAACTCAGCCGCCGACGACACAAATATGACTTGATCATCGGCATATAAAAGGCATTTGACGGTTAACTCGTCCATTCTTAACCCACATTCTTCATTCAGTTTGCAAACACCTGTCCATAAATAGGTTGTACAGCCAAGGGGAAGCCACACAGCCCTGTCTGACACCTTTTCGGATTCCAAACCAGTCCGAGTAGACCCCATTGATCCTGACACAAGCACTAGAATCCCTATAAAGAGACCTCAATGCCTGTATAAAACCAGCGCTCAATCCATATGAGTTCAGTGTTTGCCATAACACATTCCTGTCCAGTCTGTCATAAGCCTTTTCCAAGTCCATGAACGCACAAAAAACTTTCTGGTTTTTAGCCAAAAACTTCTCCGCAATCATGCGCATGGAAAAGACTTGATCTGTACACCCCATACCCTTTCGAAAACCCGCTTGCACATCCCAAATTTTTCCATCAGTTTCTTTCATAACTCTTTCAATTAACACCTTAGCATACAGTTTACCCACAATACTAAGCAAGCTGATACCACGGTAGTTTTTGCAGTCCTGCTGTGACCCTTTTCCTTTATATATTGGTACTATAACTGCTTTACACCAGTCATCCGGTACCC